TCAAGGCTAGCGCTCTACCACTTGAGCCACAGTGCCACTTCCGGCTTTTTTCTTTTTGCTTATGTGGTGCTGAGGAATCAAACCCAGGGCCTCAGGCACACAAGGCAAGCGCTCTACCACTGAGCCATCTTCCCAGCCCCATCTGTGTATTTTTTTGACCCTGAGACCAGGCAGCAAGAACTGGATCTATTCCTAGAATCCAGAGAGAGGGGAGCCATTTGGTCACAAAGATAAGAATAAGTATCTTTTGTTCTCTATCATCTACTGTCAAAAAAACCCTGCCATTAGCAAGCTCTACTGCGTGCAGGCCCACTTTAACACTGCGCTAAGCCTGCAATGTAGGCACTTGCATTAGCTTCATTTTATAGATCGCAATGTGAAATATGGAGAGGTTTAATCACCTGCCCAAGGATACTCAAAAAACCAAGATCAGACCCTAGTTCCAGATCCCACACTCCTAAGCACTATGCTTTACTCCCTTTCTCTAGAACATATAAGACATCTATCTCAGGTCAGCCAAACAGGAAAACAAGATTATAGAAAGAAATGTTATCTTAATATCAGAACCTTAGTTTCTTTTTGTGGTGGTTGTTGATTGTGAGGTTTGAACTCAGAGCTTGGGTGCTGTCCCAAGACAATAGAAAGAAATGTTATCTTAACATCAGGACCTTGGTTTCTTTTTGTGGTTGTTGATTGTGAGGCTTGAACTCAGAGCTTGGGCACTGTCCCTAAGTTTTTTTGCACAAGGCTATTGCTCTACCACTTTAAGCCACAGCTCCACTTCCAATTTTTGAGTGGTTAATTGGAGATGAGTCTCTCGGGGACTTTTCTGCCTGGTCTAGCTTCAAATCTTGATCCTCAGTTCTCAGCCTCCTAAGTAGCTAGGCTTTCAGGTATGAGCCACTGGTGCCCAGCATAGGACCCTGGTTTCTTAATACTCACCCAACAGCTTTTGCTCTGTCACTGGATCAAAATGCGCCTCAGCAGAGGAATGCATTATGCTGTCTAGTTTCTGTGTTTCTTCCCAGCTCTTGAAGGGCTCTCTCCCATGTTCAATCCAGAGTATTAGCTCTGGTTTAGAAAGATCACCGTCTGCACAGAGAAGTCAGACAGGGAAGCTTAGCTTAGCATTATATTTAAATACATTAAGTGGTTCAAAATGTTCACCAGAATATTAGCCAAAGAGTATGGGTAAAAAGTCCTTGTGAGTTGATATTTTTGGGAAATCTAACTACCAAGACGCCAGACATCTCAGAGGATCCAGTTCCATGACTTAGCTGAAGTGGAAGGGTTCTTACCTAGAGAGACTAGAGTCTCATAATTGGTTTTCATGACATGCTTGTAGAGCATCTTCTGCCAAGTCTGCAGATGTTGCCATTCCTGCTCTGAGAAATAAATGGCAACGTCCTCAAAAGTCAGCGGTAACTGCAATACCAGACAGAATACAGACACAGTCATGATCGCAGCAATGAATCCATCTCCCTCTCAGCAATTTATTTTTCTTTAAGGTTTTGCCAAGGATTTTATTTGTGTTAGTGAAATGAGTCCCTTCCCATAGCTTAGTCCACTCCTTCCCCTCTCCACAGTTTAGCATGCTCCCTTCCTAGGCAACACTAAGCCCATGTTGTAAAGGCAGTAAACAATCAACTTCCACTCCCCTTTACCTTGGGATGGCACTTCTCCGGGGCAGCTACCACCATAGAAGGCAACAAGAGCCCCTTAGAGTGACCTTCTGGGTCTGGGCAGCTGCAGGACCCTTATCTACTATTTGGGCAGCAGCTATAAATCCTAGTCGGCCCTGGCCCTCACGTTCATGCCAGGGTCTCCACCTCCAAGCCCATTCTAGCCCCTCCTAGACCTCCTAGGTTACATAGGTCCCCCCAGATGATAGCGGGTGCTTCTTCTCACTTCTCCCTTGTGAGAAGGAGTCTTGCTGGCCCCTTTCCTGGCAATCAACCTTTCTTTGTTCTCTGTACCTGGATGTCTGCATGGCTGTCTGGCAAAGTCCAAGTAATCAATTCTATCTATCTATCTGTCTGTCTCTGTCTGTCTGTCTGTCTGTCTGTCTATCTATCTATCTATGTTGGTGATGGGGCTTGAACCCTAGGCCTGGGTGCTGTCTCTGAGCGTTTACACTCAAGGCTAACATTCCACCATGTGGAGCCACTTCCAGTTTTCTGGTGGTTAATTGGCGATAAGGCTGTCACAGACTTTCCTGCCTGAGCTGGCCTTGAACTGAAATCCTCAGATCTCAGCCTCCTGAGTAGCTAAGATTACAGGTATGAGCCAGCAGCACACTCTATGAATTTATTTAGTATAAAAGGATGAAGTAGGGAGAAATGGGAGAGAAACCTTTCCTGCTTCCTCAGCTCTTCAGCTCCAAGGTGAGCACTCTACCACTTGAGCCACAGCACCACTTCTGGTTTTCTGAGTGGCTTATTGGAGATAAGAGTCTCGAGGCCTTTCCTGCTAGAGCTGGCTTTGCACCACGATCCTCAGATCTCAGCCTCCTGAGTAGCTAGGATGACAGGCCTGAGCCACCATGCCTGGCCAAGACTTCCTTCTTATGAATTTAAATGGTTTGTGTAGAAAACAATGGTTTAGTTTTCAGCAGCCTTCCTCCCGCCCCCTCCCCAGTACTAGAGCTTAAACTCTGTGCATTGAGTTCTTTCTTGGCTTTACTGCTCACAGCTGACACTCTTAAAGATGAGAGCATATCACTGTAACTTCAGTTACTTAGAATGTCACAGTCATTTTTTCTAGGTCATGCTTTTTGCTGGTTACTTTGAAAATAGGAGTCTCTCAATCTTTTTTGCTTAACTGGCTTCAAAATGGAGTCCTTCGGATCTCAGCCTTCTGAGTAGCTAGGATTACAGTGCCCAACAAGAAAAAAAAAATGTATGCTGATGGGGCTGGGAAGGTGGCTCAGTGGTAGAGCACTTGCCTTGCATGCCTGAGGCCCTGGGTTCAATTCCTCAGCACCATATAAGCAAAAAGAAAAAAGCCGGAAGTGGCGCTGTGGCTCAAGTGGTAGAGCGCTAGCCTTGAGCTGAAGAGCTGAGGGACAGCACCCAGGCCCAGAGCTCAGGCCCTATAACCGGACCCCCCCCCAAAAAAATGTATGCTGATCTTGGGATTTGAACCTAGGGTCTGGCACTGAGCTTTATTTTTGTTCAAGGCTAATACTCTACCACTTGAGCTACAGCTCCATTTCTGACTTTTTTAGTGCTTAAATGGAAATAAGAAGTCATGGACTTTCCTGCCTGGGCTGGCTTCAATCCACCATCTTCAGATCTCAGCCCCCTGAGGACTCAAGTGTGAGCCACTGCACCCAGCTAAGAAAAATATTTTTATTATAGTTTTTTCATCCACACAAATGACAAATCTCCCATTTATTTAAAATTCTCTCTGTAAAGGTGCTACATACTTTTAACACATTTAACCCTAGAAGTTGTGGGCTTTGTTGGGTGATATAGGATAGTTTAAAATTAATGAGCTCAACTCATTTAATAATCAGCAAACATGTTCAATACAAAAGTGAGAAAAACATAATAAAAATTAGCCAAACGGCTCACATGCCCTACAATGGATGAGACCAAGAAAATATGATATGTATAAATATATATGTATATATGTACATATATGTGTATATGTATAAATATATGTATATACAATGGAATTTTACTAATCCATCAGGAAAAATGATTTTCTGGGAAATGGGTGGCTCTGAGAAACATTATATTAAGTGAAGTATGGCTCAGAGAGCAATGTATGTTATCTCTCATATGTGGATGTTAGATTTAAATTAAAAACATATATAAAACTATACAGGGTCATATGTATATATGCACAAACAAACTGAGGAGATTCCAATGGTATAACTACTTTGGACAGTGAAATGAGCAGTTTAACAAGATGAGTACCAAGAAGCTAAAGCAAGGTTTGGGGGGGGGGGTGAATGGAGAAGGGAAGATAGGTGAATGTAGTCATTATATTCAGTGTCCATCTGTGAAAACAGAACTAGGTAACTTGAGCCAATGGTTGGGTTGGGAGAGAGGAGGGAGGATGAAAGGGGTGACACTGATTAAGATGCTTTGTTGAATTGAAATCCCTTTGTACAACTATTTAAAGACAATTTTAAGCCAGGTACTGGTGGCTCACACCTGTAATCCTAGCTACCCTGGAGGCTGAGATATTGAGGATTTCAGTTCAAAGTTGGGGGAAAGGAAAGGCCACCAGTAACCACCAAAAAGCCAGAACTGGAGTGGTGGCTCACTTGGTAGAACACCAGCCTTGAGCCAAAAAGCTCAAGGGCAGTGCCCAGGCCCTGAGTTCAAACCCCAGGATTGGCATTTGTAAAAAGACAGGATTTTTTTTTGGGGGGGGACAGTTCTGGGGCTTGAATGCGGGTCTGGGCACTGCCCCTGAGCTGCTTTTGCTCAAGGCTGGTGCTCTACCACTTTGAGCCACAGCACCACTTTGGGCTTTTTCTGCTTAGGTGGTGCTGAGGAATCGAACCCAGGGCTTCATGCATACAGGGCAAGCACTCTACCACTGAGCCACCTTCCCAGCCCTAAAACGACAATCTTAAAATAAGTAAATAAATGCTAAAGGACTTAAAGAAAATCAGCCACTCGATTCCAACTAAACTCCAAATAAGCCAACACCACATTTACTATCTCTGCAAGGCTCTCATTCATTCAGGACCGCCAACACACCATTACAAGCTCGCCAAGCTTCATCTTTAGACAGTGGTTCTGAGTCCAGCGGCTAAGCGGTGACGCTGCGGCTGACCTCTGACCTCCGGTTCTGAGTCCAGGGGGAAAGCTGTGACCCTGCAGCTGACCTCTGACCTCGCGTCGGTCCCTTGACCTGCTCTTGGCGCCCGCCAGGTGCCGCTCGCCCTTCCAGCGGCTCTCTGCTTGGTTTCGGGTTTTGGCCACGGTGGCCACCGGCTCCTTCCAGGGTCGGACCCCGCACCCCAAACCTAATTGGGCCTGGGGCCCGGCCCCACCCCCGTGAGACTTAGGACGCCGCTTCCCGAGGACCCCGAAACCCGGGATCCCCACGGACAGCCCCTTACCGGAGCCAGCTCGGCCATGGCCCGCTGTCCGGTGCACTGCCCCCACCGTCCTGACGGCACCGTGCCAAGTCCGGCTCCGCCGCGACCCCCAGGTCCAGCCCGGCGGCCCCCGGCCCG